CGTCGCAATACCACTATTACCCACAAGTCATAATAAATAACCGGCTTCTTCCACTTGAACATAGTTCAAAAATATTAGAATATTAGACCCCAAATTTTGACACGATGCCATCCTTTTCCCAACATCACAAACATGTCTCATCTAAGGCCTCCAAACGTAATTCAATAATAAATGGAACCTCGTATGGCCAAGACAAAGAAACTCTGCTGCCTGGTCTCCACTAATTTCTGATACAAGCTACAACAGACTTTAACGCACACAGAATGCTGCCTTACGGGTAATCACTGAATGCCATAAGATAGCGTCAGAGCAGCACCTCTTTTCAGAGTGCCAAATGCTCTTTGTAAGGCAGCACACCGACCTCCTATCATCACAGTTCCTATTACAATGCTACAACTCAAAACACCCATGCTACTACATCACAAAAGAGCCACGACCATACAGAAATATAGAAGAAATATTTTCGCCAAACATGCACGCACGGTGCTATCAGTGCTGCCCATGGACATTATCAGCAGTACACAGTAGCTCCGCGAAACACTTCTGAGTCATATCATGCCGCTATACTGCTGGCCACCTCCATCTCCTAAAATTACCAAGAGCAATGAGAAGAACGTTGGCTCAACTCCGCTCAAATCACTGCATCTCTCTTAACAGCTACAAAGCATAAATCGACAGTAAAGTAAGCAGTAACTCTCCGTTTGGCCGTAAACATCCTGACGATGTTATCCACCTATTTAGCTACCCAAACAACCCTACACATTTTTCGATAATAGATCTCTGGCGAAACCCGGTTGCTATGGCCATCTAGCTCCAGTCCCTCTGGTGATGTTTGAAGCGGGGCAACAACAACAACAATCATATCAACAACAACCTCAACAACAACAGTTACAGTGACAACAAGACAAATCCAATATAGACCTTGACAACAACAGCACGTCAATTACAATTCCATCAGTAGCATAAACATCTATCACAATATCTGCAACAACATTAATGTCACTCACGGCTCTTTAAGTTTTAACATCAAACCATCATTATCGCCAACCCTGCAACTGCTTTTTCAACTGAGTCAGTCAACCATCTTTATCGTCTTCATTGTCTTCATCGCCATCACTACCTCACAACAACTCTAACAATAATCAAATCACTTGCTGCTGCGGTAAATTTTGCAAAGGCAGGAAAGGCTTCAAAATGCATCATCGATCATGCAAGGTCTGCTAAACTTTGCAATTATCAAATGTTGCGAACACGTTTGCTGAAAATACTTCATCAGCTAAAACAGCTAAGATTTTGTTCCAGTCTAATTATATTATTTGATTTTATATTGTACATTGTCTTTTGATAATGTTAAAAGAGTTTCCATTATTATTAAACCAACAACATTCAAAGATTTTCCTTGGGCCTTGTTTTTTTGTGTTTTTGAAATGCAAAATCGGTTGAAATCATAGGTTCATTCATGGAAGTAGAACATGATTACTATATAAATCTAATTTTGTGTTAGTTTTTTATTGCTAGTCTAGTTCCACTGCACAGTTTCGTTAGATTATTTTTGATGATCTTATTTTTGATGTCAATAAGTGTGGTGTCATTTCTTGAAGTTAAAATGATAACCATCTTCTCCATACAGAAATGGTATTCTTAAAGTTAAAATGATAACCATATTCTCCATAAGGAAATGGTATTGAGTATTGCAATGCATCGCATGAACGATGCGTTTCCGAAACGCTTTCCAAAGTGTTATGATCAGGTTGTTGCAGCTCTGTCACGTAATTTTATTAATATTGAATGTCGTTCTTCCGGATGAAAGGGTCGGGATTAGGCGAGCGTTGGAGTTCGAGGTTGAAGGAGTGGTAGGAAGGGGTCGTCCGCGATTGGGATGGAGAGAGCAGGTGGAGAAGAACAGGGTGAAAGCGAGGTTGCGTGATACTGAGGCGAGTGACAGATGTGGATGGCGTCGAGGGGTATTTCGGTTTCATCATAGGTAGCCAAACGGCAACCCCCGATCTCGGGGAAAATGTCGTCTAAACGTGTGTTGTTGTTATTTGTCGTTCTTCCACCGTTTCTGTTAGTCTGGAAATTGCTATAGTATTTTTCCATTTATATATATATATATATATATATATATGCAGGTTTTATTAAAAATAATTATTAAAAAATTATATATATATATAATTTGGAACGAGGTTTTCGGATAAGCAGGTTTTATTAATAATAATTCAACACGTCGTAGATTGGTAGATTCAACTTTATTTAAAACAACGCTTTTGCTGACGGCCGTTTCGGCTAGTGCCATCGTCCGAGCCTGAGTCAAATAGTTAGAAATTTTAAAGCATGCAGAAATATATGAATGAATGCAATTACCTTGGCAAAACCAACATATTTTAAACAATTAAATAAAATTTCGTAAATAGAAAAATAATATAGAATTAGTGAAATAAAATAAAATAAAATCGTATTTAAAAATTTTGAAAGTGTGGTTTGTGGCGTTGTGCTGTTATTATATTAATTATGGAAAGTTTGATTTTAATATTTATGGAAAGTTAAGTTTGATGGTATAAAAATACATTATTGAAAATATTGAAAAATATATAGTATCGTTGGTGATAATGATAATAGACGGTCATAAAATATATTATATATTATGTCCGGTATAATGGTGCCAGGGAACAATTCGCTCGAGACCGACGGCGTTCGGTCACAAATGGATGATCGATGGCGCAGTGGTGCGGTGTTGGCTTGTTGTACTCGTATTTGTTTTTGGTCGGAGTTTGTTTACTACCATTGACGTTGGGCGAACTTGGTGGTGGGGCATCTCTGTATTGGGTCAATAGTTGAAGGACATGGGCGAAGTTGTCAGACTGTGTATTGATCTATATATATATATATATATATATATATATATATATATATATATATATTTACAATATTCTATAAATTCTACCGAATGTTTGGCGTTAATATGTTTGTAGTCCGTTTTTTCAATTTTTTTTCGTTGTTAGTTAAGCGCTGGGTTGGAAGTGAGGTTGTCATTTTTTGTTGTATATTTATTTTTGGTTTATTGATGTCAATTAGGACTGCTTCAGCAATTTTAAGATGCGTGTAGTTGGTATATTACTTTGGTGTTACTGTCAAGGACTTCACGGCTAATAGTGATTGAGTGTGTTGAGTCCAATTGAGATATACCAAGTGACATACCAACCTCACTTCCAACCCGGCGCTTAACCAACAACGAAAACAAAGAAGTAATAAAAACTAGCATTGTAAATAGTGACAAAGAAGAATATGATGCTATCGATGAAGAAAAGGAGACCAAAGAAGATGACCAGCCAATAAAGAAACCTGACACCTAATTTCCATCTAAGTTCACTTTGACATAGTCAATCTCCATCTAAGTTCATTTTGACAAAGTCAATATTTCCCTATATAAACAGCAGAAAGCATTGATGATGATTCTTTCGGAATCGAAATATGGCCTTATTTGCAGCATGAATTCGGAAAATAAGTTTATTTTGAGTTTTAATAAACTAAACGTTCACCAAAAAACTTTAGTGAGAAAAATTGAAAAAACGAACTACAAACATATTAACGCCAAACATTCGGTAGAATTTATGGAATATTGTAAAAGTTATGGTCTATTACCAACATATATATATGTATATATATATATATATATATATATATATATATATATATATATATATCGTCACATCGTTTCAATATCTAGGGGATGTTCTGGATTGTACTGGATGTTCGAGCACGCATACGTGCAGCCTGGAATAAATTGCATCTCCTTGCCTCTATATTGATGCGGCGTGACATACCACTACGATCAAAACTTTAAATATCTGTGATACGTCCGGTGTTGTTATTTGGTGCAGAAACATGGCCAATGACAACCAAACTGGAACAACAACTTCACCGAACCGATATGAAAATGCTCCGATGGATGCAACGAATTAGTCTGAAGGACCACATCAAATCTACCAAAATCCTGCATCGTGCTGGTTTTGATGATATAAAGGACGAATGCCGGCAACACCGTCTGAGGTGGTTTGGTCATGTCAAACGAAGTGGAAACAGTACCATAACTTTTCTTGCAAATGTTGATGTATCTGGCGCACGTCCCAAAGGCCGTCCAAAGAAGTCCTGGTCGCAAACAATCGAGCAAAAAGCTCTAAATTTAAATGAAATGGATACAACTGATCGCCTAATTTGGTGCAAAAAAACGATGGCAAACAAAACATACCTACCTCGGGAGAACTGGGTCCCTGGACGCTAAACGATGATTGATTGATGATTAAATTTTCTTACTGAGGCTTGTAATTGTAGGAAAAGTTCCTAATTTTTAGAGATTCGAAAAAACTCGAGACCTCTTGCTTCCGTCAAAAAGCCTACAAATTTTTTTGAAATAATATAACGAACAACTTTATTTGAAAACTAATTAAAATATATCAGAGCTACCATTAAGGATTAAAGGTTAAAGGTAATTCTCTCTTTAACGCTTGCTTCAGAGGTATCATCAGAGGTACGAATACGCGTGAAAACACAGTGCATATGATAGGTGGGGATCTCTTTGTATTTGAACTAAGTCACTGTAACAGCCTTTAACCATTGAGCCATCATGCCGCCCACTGCTTATCTATTTTAGTATTCTAGTCAAAGAATATTTCAATTATTACTTGAGCTAGTTACGCTCATTCTTGCCAATTTTAACTGAATTTTTTAATTTTATGTTTTCAAATACTTTTCTGAATTCTCGTTTATGCTAACCGTTCTTCCGTTCCGTCACGACCCTTTCTTTCTCGTCAAGTTATCAAACATTTTTTTAGCGACGCGTTCCAATAAATGATATAACACTCAACGCGCGATGTTTCGATCCTTGATAGGACATTTAGTTAAATATCTTTGAAAAAGTTGGTTTTTCGTCAATTGGAAAATAATTAAATCAGAAAATTATTAATATTATTAAAATTATTATAACATTTATTATTTCAAAGTATCTCAAAGCTGGAAAGGGAATTTGTTATGCATTTTAGGTGCTGTATTGTATGGTGTATCTAATATATGTCAAGAAGCTATTGTATGTAAACATGGGAGTATCGAATATCTGGCAATGATCAGTTATTTTGCCAGCATAGTCAGTGGAGTTCAATTGTATGATTTATTCTCAATATATGCCGCCTATTTTTTAATAATTTGTTAATGTAATTGCAGTGCTGTCTTCGAAAGACATGACTTTTTGAAGGTTGATTTTTCGCTCTTGTTTATTAGTTAGTCATTGCATATTTTCATTTCAACTGAATAAATAATTTTCTTTGTTAATTTATCTTTTTGAAAAAATTATTATTACGCAGGTCTTCCTTTTGCCTTTTTTGCATTATGCTTAGTTGTATTTTATTCGTTGATGTCTTATGCTATCCATAAAACATCAGCAATATCAGTGAATTTGAACTTGTTGTCCTCTGATTTTTTTTCACTGCTAGCTGGAATTTTTCTTTTTCATTATAAAGTGAGTTTTCATATTTTTATAATTTAAAGTTTTGTGAAACCCCTTAATTTATTGATTCATTTTTTTATTTGACTATCCAAGTTTAACGTGTATATGGTTCATTATAAGCTTTTTAGAGTTTTTCATTATTTTCCCATTTTTACACGTTTTAATTTTGTCTACTTTTTGTGAACATTAAAAGAATTAGTTATAATTAAAATGTAATATTCTATGAAGACAAACTGTCGCACAAACAAATTCATATTGATGATAATAACCATAAGATTTAGTGAAATTATATAAAATAATTTTTATGTCTGAACCGGGTATATATAATTACAGAACCGAACCGTTGAGGAACTACACTTGTGACGCTAATCCAATTTACGTTCTCTTAGAATATGTCGTCTCTCAAGTCTATTCTTTCCACAGCTTTTAGGTTGTTTTTTATATATAGTAGACTCCATCATTCTGTCCTCTTCTTCCATTCTGACCTTCCTGAACATGGTGTAACCATCTAATTCGAGCTCACTGTCCTCCATGGAACTTTTTGCCCAGGTTTCTGTTATACCGATGATGTCAGATGATACCTATAATAATAAATATGTAAGCCGATGTTATACCGATGATGTCAGATGATACCTATAATAATAAATATGTAAGCATTTAGAAATAACTGAAATTAAATTAAAAACTTAAATTATTAATATTATCAAATGAGAAACAAAAAATAAATACAAAAAATGGAATATTGTTATAAGGCTGCAATGATCAAATTGCGCTATATTATTTGTTATCTTGATTATTCGTTATCTTTGTTATCTTTGCTATTTTTGTAATCTTTTGGATATTAAGAATCCATTGTGTATAAGGAGGATAAATAGAAAAAGGTTTTGAAGCGAAGTCGTAAATGTGATTTATGTAGTTTACTTGAATTAGTTCAGTGTTTTTATTACTGTTGGCATTCAAATAAACGTTCAACAAATTTTGCGTTTAAAGCAGTTGTGTTTATCTATCGGAAATCTTAAACCTACAGAATAGCGATAACTTGAGATCGTTGGAAGCTACAACACTAGTGTTGGAAATATAGAGATTTCTGAAATTATAGCACTGGTGTCTGTAGTAACGAGCGTTCAACGTATACTACAATATATATAGAGAGAAAATATCGAATTGATTAGCGTGGTCCTGAAAATAATTTAAATTCATCTCTTATTAATGCTCAACGCGGTTTTGTAATTTAATTACTCTAAAACGAAATTTTTAATTTTATAACAGTATTAAATCTATAAAAATTTACAAAATAATTTGAATATCAATATATTATACGCTTTCCATATACACTCATGAATAAACGTATAAATATATCAACCAATATATGCGTTATAGGACTAACTGTCATCATTATCACCATCATCATTTAAACATTAAAAATAATTTTTCTCATGTTCGGCATTATTTAACGTCCAATTTAACTTTTCTATTTTTCTAACGGCTGATCGTAAATCATTTCAAGTTTCTTTTGTTCAATTTGAACACCGAAGATGGTATAGGAATACCGAAAAATATCTTTTTTTTATTATCATGCATAAAATAAACAACACAACATATCGATTTGAACACCGAAGATGGTATAGGAATACCGAGAAAAGCTTTTTAGTTCTATCATGCATAAAATAAACAAAAATTTTGGTTTTGAACTAAAAAAAACTTGAAAGTGATTTATGATCAACCGTTAGAAAAATCGAAAAGTAGAATTGGAAGTTTACTAATGCCCAGCATGCTGTGATTTTCATCAATAATTGCATTTCTGACAGTCTTAATCCATATATATATATATATATATATATATGTTGGTAATAGACCATAATTTTTACAATTTTCTATAAATTCTACCGAATGTTTGGCGTTAATGTGTTTGTAGTTCGTTTTTTCAATTTTTCTCACTAAAGTTTTTTGGTGAACGTTTAGTTTATTAAAATTCAAAATAAACTTATTTTCCCAATTCATGCTGCAAATAAGGACATATTTCGTTATATACTTAACATTTCTGGCAAATTTTTGGATCATAGATATATAATTTTGTTAATTATTTCATTTTACTTCTAGTTTAGTTCAATGTGCCGATTTCCGTGGTTATTATAAAAAAAATAATCACTATTTTATTGCAATCTACGAACAAAGAAAATATTTTAAATATTTTAATATTATAAAAACAAGAACTTGTTTTAATTTTCTTTTTGAATATATAAAAAATTGTTTTGACAAATAAAACTAACTAATGTACTAATTTAATCTTTTACTTAACTTTTGCATTGTATTGTAAAATCAACAATTGATGCAATTCACATTCTACGGCAACTCGCAAAGCATCAACAATTAGCACACATTTTTGTAGACCTTGAAAAAGCATTTAATCGAGTTCCCCGTGAAGCAATCAGGTGGAGTTTACGTCGACAACTCATTCCAGAATATCTTGTTCGACTTATGTTTGAAATGTATACATATACTAAGACTCTCGTCAGCACAACGGTTGGATACACAGATGCATTTGACATCGGCGTTGGAGTTTACCAAGGCTCGATTTTCAGTCCACTGTTATTTATAACTGTGATGGAAGAGATCACAAAGCCGATACGCACTGGTGACATTTAGGATCTAATATATGCTATTGATATCGTTTTGACAGCCACGTCTGAGCAGAATGCAGCACATATGTTTGAAGATTGGAACACCAGACTCGTCGATTATGGATTCAAAGTCAATATCAGCAAAACCAAAGGAATGAACACTGATGAACCCATCCAATCCACAGCTACTGGACGATGGCTCTGTTCAGTTTGTAACCCAATCCACACCTACTGGACGATGGCCCTGTTCAGTTTGTAAAGCTGGTGTAGGTAACAATTCAATCAAGTGTCAGCAGTGTAACCAGTGGTTTCACAAATGTTGTTCAAAAATAATTGGTACTTTATTTAAAGTGTCCAATTTTATTTGTCCTGCTTGCATCAAGTCTGTGATACGTCCGGTGTTGTTATATGGTGCAGAAACATGGCCAATGACAACCAAACTGGAACAACAACTTCACCGAACCGATATGAAAATGCTCCAATGGACGCAACGAATTAGTTTGAAGGACCACATTAAATCTACCGAAATCATGCGTCGTGCTGGTTTAGATGATATAAAGGACGAATGCCGGCAACACCAGGCTGTGGTTTGGTCATATCAAACGAAGTGGAAACAGTGCCATAACTTTTCTTGCAGATGTTGAAGTACCTGGCACGTGTCCCAAAGGCCGTCCAAAGAAATTCTGGTCGCAAACAATCGAGCAAACCATGAAAGCTCTAAATTGAAATGAAATGGATACAACTGAACGTCTAATTTGGCGCAAAAAATAGATGGCAAAGAAAACAACGTTCTACCTCGGGGAACTGGGTCTCTGGACGGTAAATTTCAAATGTTCAATGTGTTTTTCTCGAGGATTAAGGCATAAAAAAACGCTATTTTTACGCTCTCCTACTAATTTTTCTATTTATCAGGCTGAACTTACTAAATATAGGCTTTTACTATTTAACAAACCTTCTTCTTATTTAGGGCGCTCTATCATTTCTAACTTTGTACTCTTATTAAAAATTTTATTATTTAACCTTTTCTAAAAAAAAAACTTCCTTTATAACCTTTCTTTTATTTGTTCATAAGCAACTCTTCTTGTCTTAACTTAAACTCTACATCGTTCTACTCAATCTGGTTTTTAAGTTTTGTTCATAGTACTGAAACCACTCTTAAAAATTTATAATAATATCCTTGCTAGCGATACTAGAAATCTTACTCTTCTTCTCTCTTTTGACTATTCCTCTTGCTTTTATTTTATGCAATGATTGGTAAATGATGCAGTTTCTCAAGTACTCTGTTGAAAGTTATATTGTTTGAAATAATGTCTTCAAGCGTTTTCATTTGAATTGCTTTATTCAGCTTATTTCCCTTTTTTTTATATATGCTATATTTTTATTGATTTTAGTTTTTAACTCTGCGATCCGCCTCGCTTTTAATTATATATTATTTTAATTGGTTTGTCAATATAGATCAAGTTAATGTTAATTTTTTTTTTTCAGTTTCATCCTTTGTATTTTGCATCATTCTCTCTAATAATTTTTGGTGTTGTAATGTACAATCTGCAATCGGTAAAATCTCATTACGAAGAAGAAGCAGCGTCAATGTCAGCTGTCGTGACAAAAGAAGCTAATGAAATTGTGTTGGAAGAAACAAACTGATAAAAATGCTTGCTTGTGTTAATGTGATGTTTAGACAATAAATAGTGTGAAATGTTTTCGACTTTGTTAATGAAAATTATGAATTTTATCCTTTATTTAATTTTTGATCAGAGCCTTGTATTTGAATGGAACTCAAGTTAGTTAATCAGCCAGACCCACTAGAGCTAGTTCATGTTAGAAAAATCACTTTGTATTAATGTTTAAAAACATACTGAACAAATTTATGTGATTTTATTAGCATTTATTTTCAGTATTAAAGATGATTGCATATTAGGGTGGAGTGAAAAATTTTTTTTTCGAAATTTCAAATGCCTGTGTTGTCAAAAGATGTCTTTTAGGTCAATTAATAAATCACTAAAATTTAAACCACTTTTGTATACGTCTTGAGGTTCCTCTAGGCTCCTTTAGATTTTCACTATTAACACAAGTAAAGTCTCGACTATTAATGTATAAAAATGGTCGATTCTGCTCAAAAATACTACACAGTACACAACATCTCCTAAAATTCTTGATTATGCTTAGCAACAATGAAAACTAATATATAAATCTGAAACAATTCAATTTCATTTGTATGCACATCTCTAATTTTTGCTAGATTCCTTTTCGCAGTTACCATTGACGACCAAACTGATTTTATACTTTTTTTCAAATATAAAATGCCTAAAACACGTAAAGAATTATTTTGTGAAGTTTTTGGTTTACCTACTGATTTGCTAGGAAATGTCCTTCCTACAAACTCTGACGTAATGAAGTGTTATTTGTGGAATAGGAATTTGCTAAAAGAAAGTGCCAATGGAAAAGATCCTAGCGTAAATAACATTTCGCGACTTATTTTAACCGAATTAAAACAGATCTGGCAAAAAGCATCAATTCCAATCATTTCAGATCAAAGAATTTTAAGCTTGATAGCAAATCTGAAT